CTTAAAAATTACAATTCATGATAAAAATTGAAAAAAGGAAAAACGAGCGTTTCGGCGATATATTCAAACTACAAAGATGGTACAGTGTTATGGAGTGAAACGGATTATGCTGCAACAATCTAGAAGAATTTGTTCCAATTTAAAGTGCGGCCAAAAATGATAATATTAAGAAAGAAGAGCAGAAAAGAAAAAGAAGAAGAAGAAGTAGAAAAAAAAGAAGGAATAAAAAAACGAGTACAAAACGGTCACCCATCCGAATGGATGACCGTTACGCCCAGCCACGAGAGAGGTGATTATAGTCGGATCCTGGTCCATACGTGACTAACCCCTTGGTTTGCATGTACTTTCAAGGTACAATTATTGTAGTCTATTAGGCGCGCGGGTTCCCTTGCTTTGGTTTTGAACCCTGTAAAAGAGCGTTTGCTTGTATGAGTATACCAGGACGTCTAAAGTATCCTAAAAATTTCAAAGTTCAAATAAAAGATTATTGTCTAATAGTCTAAAAGATGAGTACTCCGGTATCGGGACAAAATCTATCGCACAACTGCAATACGACTTTCAAAATCGATCTTTATCTTGTCAACATTTTCTTATTGAAGTAGTTTTCTTTTGAAAATATAGAAAAAGTGTAATAACTTGAAGATCAGAGATCGTCTTTACGGTCTTGCTGTGTCAATTCGATTATTGATAGCTTGATTAACAGGCTCAATATATCACGGATCGCTATGGCTTAGCAGGTTTGTGACGTCCCTTTTGTTGTCGTTGAAGTTGAGTTGTATGAGGTTCATACCCAAAATTAAGACTTGTCTTTTTTTTCGAGATTATTTAGTGTTTTCTTTCTTTTTACTTCAATAACTTTAATAATCATCTTTTTGAGAAAATGCTTTGGGATTTTTTTACAGCGCTGTGCTTCCCAACCTATTCATTAAATTTGTAATTTTTGCATAGAGTGCTCGCACTAAATGCATGAAATATAAATACTACAAAATAGGTGATAAATTTATACAAATCCCTTTGTTTCCTATTGTATGATCAACACTATTTAGTAGTAACTAGTACTATTCGTTTCACGCATTAAGTGCGAGCACTCTACGAAGTTAAGATCTTCAATAATAAAATTCCATTGCCTTCAAAATAGACTCTCGCTCCCAGGTCTTTGTGCAGCTTGATAAAATTCCAAAAAAATCAAGTGTAAAGTCGTTGCAGAATGGAGAGAAATTTGAATGCGACAACACAGCGAATATTTCGTGATCATCTGTAGTTCTCATTATGTTGTTTGTGTTATTTAGTTTACTTTTTCTTAGTTGAGCAAAGTATTCTTTAATGTTTTCAAAAGCATTGGATACATGGGATTACAGATACTGGATCAAAAGCATTGGATACATAGGATTACAGATACTGGAT